TTGCTGACGCCTCCATGAGAGCGTATGGAGCGTGCGTCTATATACGTAGCAGAACTGCAGAAGGTTTAAAAGTATCATTGTTGACTTCGAAATCCAAAGTAGCGCCGCTCAAGACCAAAACGCTCCCAAGGCTTGAGTTATGTGCCGCTCACCTTCTCGCAGATCTCTGTCACAGAATCAAGCCCCTATTAAACGTGCCCATTGAACGAGTCGTTTATTGGTCGGATTCAGAGGTAACTCTCCATTGGATCCGGTCTCATCCATCGTCGTTGTCGACTTTCGTTTCAAATAGAGTGGCTGAGATTCAAGAGTGGTCAGATGATGCTACGTGGCGGCATGTACCCACGAAACAGAACCCAGCAGATATTGTCTCAAGAGGTTGTGACGTCGACGAAATCGTTCAGTCAATTTGGTTCGAAGGACCATCATTTCTGAAAGAGGAAGAAGAAAACTGGCCCAAGAACGCTCATTTCGAACACTCCGATGATCTTCAGCTGGAAAAGAGGAAGACTGCGGTCGGGCTGACCGCGGCTGTGCGAAGTTCGGAGCTGTTAGATGTCATCGAGGGATTCTCGTCACACCTCAAACTGCTTAGAGTGTTTGTGTATGTGTTCCGCTTTATAAGAAAATGTAAAGACCCAAGCCTAAAATTCGAAAAAACTATCTCACCGACCGAATACAATGAAGCCTTTTATAAAATTGTCGAAATCGTCCAGCATCACGAGTATCAAGGAGAAATCGAAAAGGTTAGGAAAGGATCTACAATTGGTCCTAGTCTTCAGCGGTTGAACCCATTCATCCATGAAGACACAGGGACTTGGTGTAACTTTTCGTTGTTGCGAGTGGGGGGGCGACTAGCTAAAGCTCCTATATCATACGATGCCAAGTTTCCTCTGCTTTTGACTAAGCGCTCGCAATTCGTGCGAAGCTATATTCGTCATCTGCACCATTCGAATTTTCATGTCGGCCCACGAGCACTTTGTGAGCATCCTTCGACAGAGCGTGTGGATAGTGAACGCTCAGGAGGTCTGCCGTCAGACAGTTCGATCATGTATGCGCTGTTTTAAATGCAAGCCTCGATTGCTGACGCAACTCATGGGGAATTTACCCGCAGATCGACTCCGTGCTCTCCGCCCATTTTCAATTTGCGGCGTTGATTTTTGTGGACCAGTGCACACGACATTGAAAATTCGCGGAAGGCCCCCATACAAGTCATACATTGCGCTTTTTGTTTGTTTTGCGTCCAAGGCGGTTCACCTAGAAATAGTTTCCGATCTAACCACTGATTGTTTTTTGTTGGCTTTTCAAAGGTTCGTCGGGCGCCGAGGATATCCCCAAGTCGTTCATTGCGACAACGGGACGAACTTCGTCGGAGCGAGCCGCCATCTCAGCGCTCTGCGGATCAGGATCAAGGAGCAGGGAGACGCAATTCGCGACTTTGCGTCAAAAAACGGATGCGAATTTGCGTTCATACCGCCGCGAGCTCCTCACATGGGAGGGCTATGGGAGGCAGGTGTAAAAACTGCCAAGAGCCTACTCCTACGGGCGGTAGGCAGCGCGCTCCTAACCGCCGAAGAGCTCGCCACAGTCCTCGTCGGCATCGAGGCCATAATGAACTCGAGGCCGCTGGGAGCCATCAGCCAAGATCCAAGCGACGGCGAGGCCCTAACACCCGGGCACCTGCTGACAGGCGGGTCGCTCATCGCCCCCCCAGCACTGCGGACTCCGGACCAGGAGAGTCTCAGTTGCTTGCGGCGATGGCGACTTGTCTCGTCAGTCAGGCAAGCGTTTTGGCAGCGATGGTCCCGCGAATATGTCCTGGGGCTGCAAATTCGGGGCAAATGGCACCAGCAGCAACCGAACCTCGAGGAAGGAGACCTCGTCATCGTGGCCGAGGACAATCTGCCGCCTCAGGAGTGGCTCGTAGGGAGGGTCATAGCCACGCACGCAGGAGAGGACGGCATGGTCAGGGTCGTCGAAATAAGGACTAGCACTGGAGCGGTTTTTCGGCGGCCCATACACAAATTAGCGCCGCTCCCAATGTGTTGAAGCCGATGCAGGCGTTCAACGGGGCCGGTGTTGCGTGACCTTCCATCCATGGCCACAATTATTAGTTATAGATGGAATTATGAATTATGAATTATGAAGTCTAGTGTAAGTTAGGCTAGGGCAAAGCGGGAGCGCAATAAAAGCTCGCTCTCTCGCTCTTGGCGAATTCGCCCCGCTTTGCCACCGTAGGATAGCTAGAGTAAGAGATTTGAATTGTGAAGAAAATATAGTTGTTCGCCAACCTTGAAATAGATCGAGCGTATCAAGTTTTTCGCCCCGCCAAATAAATAATTTAAATTACAGCCACCCAAAGTTTTCGGTAACTGATTAGAAAAACTCTTCTAATATACCTGTAAGTTTTAGAGAGAGAGCACACACACATGGACACGCATGACCACGGCTAACACCGGATTATCTTGATCTTTTCTTTTTCTTTTTGTTTAGGGACTTTTTTTTGGGCATATATAGAGCATAAATCAAATTATTCCATATTTAACTTCTATATATTATTCTTTATTCAATATATATTCGTTTATTCAGGTTCGATGGGGGTAGGTCTTGATACATAGACCAAGGTGTAGGCGCACGGAAAAAGCTCCAAGCAGCTGGTTTCGTTTCACGGGCAAAAGGGGCAACGGCCTAACAAGCGCATATATGTTCTTTGGGAGTAAATGCACAATGGGCCACAAAGAGGTTCATACGAGTTCTGCCCGTTCCGTTGGGGTTTATTTAATACACTTAACCTGCACATGCCATGATCTGACATTTAGGTTAGGGCGAAGCACGGTGACAAAAAAATTCGGGTCAGGGTCTCTTTTTTATTGGACGAGTCTGGTTATTCCTTGTCATTAGCAAGGAAGATCACTTGGCACTTTTTGTTTAGGGCTCTTGGCCCGGTGGCTGGATGGACCACTCTCGGTCGCGACGACTCGCGTTGGGGCGGCGAAGAGCTCGCTGCTGCCGGCGCTAAAGCTCGGAAACGGCTGAGGGGCCGCTCTCTGTCGGCGCTGAAGCTCGGGAACTGCTGAAGGGCTCGATGTGGTGGATGGCGTTGGGGCTTTAGGTGGAGTTTCCCAACTCTACGGTGGACCGCTTTGGTGGAGGGCGTTGGGGCGTTGGGGGGAGCGTCCCAACTCTACGGTGGCCCGCTTTGGGGCGATCGTCGGAAAAAACTGCACCATCCTCTGCACAGTGGATGGGGGATTGATTTCTCTACTGGGTGGATGGGGTCTTGCTTTCGAAAGGCCGGCGGATCGTGCTGATCTACGGAGAACTTTTATTTGATTTTTAACTTTTATTAAATTTTTTTCTTGAGAGCTGGATAAGTACGTCCGTACTGTTCGGATACCATGAGGAGAGAGCGAGCTGCTTTTCCCGGAAATCAAGGCCTCATCCATCGTTCTTCCCTTTTTCTTTCCGATTTGTCAAAATGACAGTGGGAGGAAGAGGCCGATTAAAACGTCAGCCAAAAGAAATAATATAATAAATAATATGGCGTGTTAAAAGCTTAGCTTTCTTGAACCCAACAGAAGACTTAGCCTATTCGCGTAGCATAATTTTAGGGAAAATTAAGACGTCGATGCAAACAATTTTTTTTCTTACAACAAGCGCACTACATAATCCCCCCACTTAAATCACGCTTGGGGTGGGACACCCAAAGTGGGATCCGCTGACTGATCACATTGAAGGTCGGGCGTTTACTCTCGGCTATTTTGTAGGCCGGGCATTGAATGATCGCGCTGAAGACCGTTCATTGAATGACTGCTCGCGCCGAGGGCCGGGCATTTGCTATCCTCTTCTGGGTCTGGGTACGAAATATATAGCCGGGCTGGTTGGTCTTCGGGAGGATTCCGACGCTCACTCGGCCTCTACCGCTCACGACGCGCTGCTCGCCGCGCCCGTGTCGCTCTCTCTCCAGCGATTTCTACCCAGCTTCGGCTCGGTTCCCTTTCTCTGCCGTCTTGCCGCGGCGCTCTCCTCCTCGTGTGGGCGCGGCGGCCACGTGTTGACGCTATGGCTAGGGAGGTTAGGGAAGCCAGCCTCGCTGTACGTGAATAATGGTCGACCTCACGGGCGGTTTTACAGAGATATACAGCTATTATTGGCCTAATGGTTCCGACTGGCATAGTACAGTCCCGATTCCCTGCTACTCGTTATACCCGATACTCAAAATGAGTATTGGGGTATATTAGATTTGTGGTGAAAATGGATGTGTGTAACGTCCAGAAGGAATCGTTTCCGACCCCATAAAGTATATATATTCTTGATCAGCATCAATAGCCGAGTCGATTAAGCCATGTCTGTCTGTCCGTCTGTCCGTCTGTCCGTCCGTCCGTCTGTCCGTCTGTCCGTCCCCTTCAGCGCCTAATGCTCAAAGACTATAAGAGCTAGAGCAACGATGTTTTGGATCCAGACTTCTGTGATATGTCACTGCTACAAAAATATTTCAAAACTTTGCCCCGCCCACTTCCGCCTCCACAAAGGACGAAAATCTGTGGCATCCACAATTTCGACGATACGAGAAAACCAAAAACGCAGAAACGAAGAGAATGACCATATCTTTTAGACTGCAGAATCTGAATTGGATCGTATTATTATTATAGCCAGCATCAAGAAAACAATTTCATTTTTTCTCCGCCCTGTCTCTCTCTAACCCTGTCTCCGACCCCCGTAGCAATTATTAGTTCGACAGTGTCCCGTGAGTGCTATCCGGCGATTGCCTAGGCACCCTCGGCGATGCTTGTCGATATCCCCGATCCCCGTAGCAATTCTTAGTTCGAAAGTGTCCCGTGAGTACTATCCGGCGATTGCCTAGGTGCCCCGGCCCGTAATAATTCTTAGTTCGACAGTGTCCCGTGAGTGCTATCCGGTGATTACCGGAAGCATTACATTTAGAAGTTGTACGAGATGGATGGGCATGCATTCATGTGTTGTGTTCATGATCGACAGATCTAGCAGAGGAACTCCCGCAAGTGTCCCAGAGAGGGCAGATAGGTGTCTGGGATCATGTCCACTTTGCTGTGTCCTTCGTCATTGCAAATCTGGCGCACCTCTTTCAAGATGCTGACGCCGGTGCCCACGAAAAGCGATTGGAAGCCGCAGTTGCTGGCGAACAGAATGTCCGTGTAGAGACTGGAATAGGCGGGTGAGGTAAGAGCAGGTGGGGCAGGAGGACGGACCACTTACAGTGTCGCCAACCATCAGCGTGGACTCCCGCTTGAGGACGCCGCATTGCAGCAGCTGCTCCACCATCAGGGGATTCGGCTTGCCCAAAATCAGCGGCATTCGGCCAGTGATGGCCTTCACGGCGGCCTACCATGGCACCGGCGCCCACAATCATCCGGTTTTTGCCCACCGGATAGGCGGTGTCCAGACAGGTGCCCAGGAAGAGGACCTTCGGCTCCTGGAGGTACGAACTGGCCCTGATTATCTTCGGCACATTGAAGCTCTCATCCTTGCCGATTATCACGGCGCCCACCTCGTGATCCAGGTACATATCCTTGGCAAACTGTTCCATGGGCTTGAGCAGCTTCTCCTTGCCCACAGAGAAGCTGCAGATGTTCTCCTTGGCCAGCTCATCGACAATGGCCGACTCCCCGACGATGTACGCCTTCTTTTTGAACCCCTTCGCGCTGAGGACCTGGCCACGGACAGCGCCGAGCTCAGTATCTGCTCTTCCTGGATCTCGTAGCCGAACTGGTGCGCCTTCGCGGCCAGATCCTTGGTGAGCAGACCCGAATGGTTGGTCGCCACCAGCACCTGCCTGCCCGAGCTCTTGATCATATTAAAGGTCTCCACTGCCCCATTGATCGGCCGGTTCAGGTGCCACAGAACACCGTCGGCATCGAATATCACCGATTCGATTGTGGTCAGCCACTGGCGCACCTTCTCCTTGGGTATTTTGGTCAGATCCGTGCAGGTACGCTTGAACATGGCTCAGCACGGGACTACAACTGCTCGTAGGTGATATTTTGAAACAACAATAAAACAGTCAAACCACAATTGACATTCCACACAGCCAGTACTAGATTGTGAGTTTTCTCAGAAACCAAGATCTCAGATCCAATCAAAAAGCACTGTTTGAACAGAGCAAGCCCAGCACCGAGAAATAATAGGTACACATCGTATTAACCGCTCTCAGGACCCTTCTCGGGATCCCCCCTAAAGGGCGCGCCAGTGCCACATAAATTTAATTATCAATCAATTATACATTTCCCCCCACAGCGAGGGGTATCAAAAGTACTGCCGTAAGAGCGTGGTGTCTATCTGTCTGTCTAAAGTAATGAATGTAGTCTAAGGGGTAAGGTGTAAGGGGTAAGGTGTCAGGTGTAGGGGCCTTAATAGTTTCGGGAGGGTATGAATGGCAGCAAGTCCGAGAGCCTGTGCAGATACAGGTCTGGTATCTGCTGGTACGCAAAGGCCTGCTTAGAGGCCAGGGCATGGCGGACATCCTGGAGACTGCTGACGCCAGTGCCCACCAGTAGAGTGTGAAAGCCGCAGTTGTAGCCGAACTGCATATCCGTGTACATGCTGGGCGGGGGGGGGTAAAGGCATGAAAGTAAGCGAAAATACCATATAGGAGTGAGAAACTCACGTGTCGCCCACCAGCAGGGTGCGTTCAGGCTCGATGACACCCTGACGTATCAGATGGGAGCAGACATAGGGACTGGGCTTGCCGCAGGTGAACGGGGCCCGCTTCGCCACCGCCTGTATGGCAGCCACCACGACTCCCGCCCCGGGCACTTGACGGTCGGCAGCCACTGGAAAGGCGCGATCGCGATTGGTGGCCAAAAAGAGGGTCTTTGGGTCCCGGAGGTATATGCTGGCCTTGGTCAGCTTCAGCACATTGAGGCCCAAGTCCATGCCGACGGCCACGGCGCCCACATTCGCATCTAAGTACATTTTTTGCACCTGGTCCACCATGGAGTTCTCCTGCGTGGAGGCCAAGTCCAGCGGCAGACTCTCGATCCCGACCTGCCGCAGCTCGTCCTTGATGCCCTGGCCACCCACGATGTAGACCTTGCGATTGAACTTCCGCTCTCGCATATAGCGGGCCAGAGCCTGCGCCGAGGAGAGGATCTCGTTCTCGGCGCAGGCTCTGGCCCGCTATATGCGAGAGCGGAAGTTCAATCGCAAGGTCTACATCGTGGGTGGCCAGGGCATCAAGGACGAGCTGCGGCAGGTCGGGATCGAGAGTCTGCCGCTGGACTTGGCCTCCACGCAGGAGAACTCCATGGTGGACCAGGTGCAAAAAATGTACTTAGATGCGAATGTGTCCTTCGTCATTGCAAATCTGGCGCACCTCTTTCAAGATGCTGACGCCGGTGCCCACGAAAAGCGATTGGAAGTCGCAGTTGCTGGCGAACAGAATGTCCGTGTAGAGACTGGAATAGGCGGGTGAGGTAAGAGCAGGTGGGGCAGGAGGACGGACCACTTACGTGTCGCCAACCATCAGCGTGGACTCCCGCTTGAGGACGCCGCATTGCAGCAGCTGCTCCACCATCAGGGGATTCGGCTTGCCCAAAATCAGCGGCATTCGGCCAGTGATGGCCTTCACGGCGGCCACCATGGCACCGGCGCCCACAATCATCCGGTTTTTGCCCACCGGATAGGCGGTGTCCAGACAGGTGCCCAGGAAGAGGACCTTCGGCCCCTGGAGGTACGAACTGGCCCTGATTATCTTCGGCACATTGAAGCTCTCATCCTTGCCGATTATCACGGCGCCCACCTCGTGATCCAGGTACATATGCTTGGCAAACTGTTCCATGAGCTTGAGCAGCTTCTCCTTGCCCACAGAGAAGCTGCAGATGTTCTCCTTGGCAAGCTCATCGACAATGGCCGACTCCCCGACGATGTACGCCTTCTTTTTGAACCCCTTCGCGCTGAGGAACCTGGCCACGGACAGCGCCGAGCTCAGTATCTGCTCTTCCTGGATCTCGTAGCCGAACTGGTGCGCCTTCGCGGCCAGATCCTTGGTGAGCAGACCCGAATGGTTGGTCGCCACCAGCACCTGCCTGCCCGAGCTCTTGATCATATTAAAGGTCTCCACTGCCCCATTGATCGGCCGGTTCAGGTGCCACAGAACACCGTCGGCATCGAATATCACCGATTCGATTGTGGTCAGCCACTGGCGCACCTTCTCCTTGGGTATTTTGGTCAGATCCGTGCAGGTACGCTTGAACATGGCTCAGCACGGGACTACAACTGCTCGTAGGTGATATTTTGAAACAACAATAAAACAGTCAAACCACAATTGACATTCCACACAGCCAGTACTAGATTGTGAGTTTTCTCAGAAACCAAGATCTCAGATCCAATCAAAAAGCACTGTTTGAACAGAGCAAGCCCAGCACCGAGAAATAATAGGTACACATCGTATTAACCGCTCTCAGGACCCTTCTCGGGATCCCCCCTAAAGGGCGCGCCAGTGCCACATAAATTTAATTATCAATCAATTATACATTCCCCCCACAGCGAGGGGTATCAAAAGTACTGCCGTAAGAGCGTGGTGTCTATCTGTCTGTCTAAAGTAATGAATGTAGTCTAAGGGTAAGGTGTAAGGGGTAAGGTGTCAGGTGTAGGGGCCTTAATAGTTTCGGGAGGGTATGAATGGCAGCAAGTCCGAGAGCCTGTGCAGATGCAGGTCTGGTATCTGCTGGTACGCAAAGGCCTGCTTAGAGGCCAGGGCATGGCGGACATCCTGGAGACTGCTGACGCCAGTGCCCACCAGTAGAGTGTGAAAGCCGCAGTTGTAGCCGAACTGCATATCCGTGTACATGCTGGGCGGGGGGGGGGGAAAGGCATGAAAGTAAGCGAAAATACCATATAGGAGTGAGAAACTCACGTGTCGCCCACCAGCAGGGTGCGTTCCGGCTCGATGACACCCTGACGTATCAGATGGGAGCAGACATAGGGACTGGGCTTGCCGCAGGTGAACGGGGCCCGCTTCGCCACCGCCTGTATGGCAGCCACCACGACTCCCGCCCCGGGCACTTGACGGTCGGCAGCCACTGGAAAGGCGCGATCGCGATTGGTGGCCAAAAAGAGGGTCTTTGGGGTCCCGGAGGTATATGCTGGCCTTGGTCAGCTTCAGCACATTGAGGCCCAAGTCCATGCCGACGGCCACGGCGCCCACATTCGCATCTAAGTACATTTTTTTGCACCTTGGTCCACCATGGAGTTCTCCTGCGTGGAGGAGCCAAGTCCAGCGGCAGACTCTCGATCCCGACCTGCCGCAGCTCGTCCTTGATGCCCTGGCCCACCCACGATGTAGACCTTGCGATTGAACTTCCGCTCTCGCATATAGCGGCCAGAGCCTGCGCCGAGGAGAGGATCTCGTTCTCGGCTATCAGGAAGCCCATGCTGTCTGTCTTCTTGCTCAGGGCCCGGCACGAGGCCTCCGAGTTGTTGGTGCAGATGAACGAATTCTTGCCCATCGCCCGCAGGGCATTGAACGTATCGGCAGCTCCCGTGAGTGCCCTGATCGTGGCGCCACAGCACCCCATCCGCGGCGTAGACGATCGTGTCGAAGGTCTTCAGCAGTTGGCGGACATTATATATGTTTGGTTCCAGCACCTGGCAGCCGCCCATCCGCAGCACTCGCCGCGACAAAACGAAATTCATTCTCAGTCCGTATCCGAATCAATGTGGGCTGATGATCGACTAAGTATCCTCTAAACTCAGGGCATACTATGGCTTGAAATCTCCCCTGAAATCTTGCACTCTGCTTGTGGCTGCTAAAATCAATGGAAAGTTTGTCCCGGGACCCCGTGACCTTTGAGCTGTCGCCGACCACTCCCCGGGACCGTCACGGGCTGCCATTCTCCGATGCACTTAATTCACTAAACTTTTGCTCATTTTGCTACTTTTGGCCAAGACCGGAATGGACCCTGGCTGTGGTTCGGCTTGGGTTTGGGCTGGGGTTTGGGCTTGGGGTGCGGGTCCGGGGTCCGGGTCCGGGGCAAACATCGCGGACAACTTTTAATTGTGCGCAACGGACTGAAGGCCAAACGGAGCATCCCCCTCCCCCGTACCCAGTCCTGGGGGAGCCAGTTCTCTGCCAAGGATTCGCGCCTTTTCGACCAGCAGCCAACGCCCCGATGCGCCAATTAAAATGGCATTCAGGCTTTATTGTTGACAGGTCCTGTCTCCTACGAGCGACCAAATCCGACACTTGTCCACTGCCCAGCGCCCAGAGACAGGGACAGAGGGAGAGAGAGACATTCCCTCGCACCTTGACATAAATTCATTAAATCTTGTCCGGGCTTTCAAATCTGCCGCAGTTTAACGGATCTCTGTTGAATGGCCCCCGGTCAAATGGCGGCCTCACGGCTCTTAAAATAGAGGGGCGAAAAATCGACGCAAATTGGCCAACAACCGGGGGGGAGCAGAGCTCGAGGACCGTGCCGGGGATAAGCCGCTGCCCTCCGGGCCAGGCAAAAAGCCAGGAAACGCGACTTTCGAAATTTCCATGATTTTCTCGCTCAGGGGAAAAGGAAACACTCACATGTCAATAAAGTATTTACTTAGACCCCACGCAGACTCAAACGTCCCATCGAACATAAAAAATACAAAAATTTGCTGAATAACACATCATTAAAATTTGTATATAAACCTAATCACTAAACTCTTAAAATATGTAGTAAGCCAATGTAAATATCACTAATATTAGATCATAGTTTAAGTAAAGCTGATTTGTAATAAAAAAAAAATAAAAAAAAAAAAAATTACTTAGATTTAAATCTATTAAAAATCTATTAAATTTGTAAGAATATATTTACGAGTGTGTCGAATATTTTCAGATTAATTTTACTACAATTTCCATAGTCGGTATCTCAGGGCCTCGCCAATTAATTGCAGCCCAAAAGGAAATCCTCCTTGAAAGTTTTGTCGCCTGTGAAATATATCTAAGCACCTTTCTGTCTCTTTACGTA